TTTTCGGCCATCCGGTAACGAATTTATTTTTCGGCTATCCGGGAACGAATTTGTTTTTCGGCTATCCGGGAACGAATTTATTTTTCGGCTATCCGGGTATTCGGCTCCGTGACACGCCACCCTCCAGAGTTGACTAAATTTCGCAGTCTTAAAATTTTTCTATGACAGTTAAAACTTCTTACAAAATTAGACTCTAAAATAGTTACAAGATAGGTACTTTTCTTTAAAAAAGTCGGTTGTAAGATGGTGATTTTTAAAGAAGAAAGTTGTAAGATAGGATTTTTTCCTGCTAAAAAATCAAAATTTTTTAAACCTTTTTCCACAATTTTCTGTAAGTAAACAGTAGAAAAGTTCTCAACTGTCGCAGGGTACAATAACGAAAATTCAATTTAACAAATCGCCATATGAATTGATCAAAATAACAAGATCAACCATACGTCCAAAACCATATGACATGATTCGTCAAAATTGATGTTTCATTGTCTGCAAAAAAATTTTGAGCAGCTAAATATATAAAACTAGGAGAGTTGTTTATAAAAATTGCAAAATTTTTTTTCCGGAAATTACCACCATCTGAATATTTTTTAATTGCATGAATTTGAAAAAAAAGAAATTTTCAAAAATTGATTTTTATCCCTAATTGAGGTATGGGAACACAGTCAAATAAGTTAGCGATTTTAAAATCATATTGGTTCTGCATTATCTAATAAAATGAAATTTATAAAAATTATAAAAAATTCTAAGAAATGGGATTCATTTGTAAGATGTTCAAAACGGGAACGTTTTACCTTGGAAAACTAATTTCGCATAATATTTCAAATAAACGGGCAAAATTTGTCGCTCGGAAACAAATTTATTCTGAATAGCTTTTTTAGGATCTTGTTAACTATTCCCCCCATGGTACCTAAAAATATCTAACAAATACATTTTTCATATCCTCCAAAATTGATTTTTTTTTGGCGGAAATGTGCTCTGAATCCTTGCAGTTTTGAACCAACCTCGAAAATTGTAAAAACGCAATTAAAGCGATAACTAAGACTCATTAGACTCAAATGTTAAAATTATGCAGAGAAAACGCTAAGAAGGTAGGAAAAAGATAGAGACTAAACAATTTAGATAAAATTGTTGGTTTCGGCATGCCGTATTATATTATTCAGCGAACTCCAGCAAACTTGATCCAACTATGTTTTGAAAGTTCCATTTCCGTTTTTCATCAAATATGCGGGGTTAACCAAAAAGACTCATGCGTTCGTTATACTAATGAATTGACTCTACCCGGGTAAATCAATCCCTAATATATTCACCAGGATCTGTTTTCGTAGCAATTTTGGGATCTTGTTAACTATTCACCCCCCCCCCCGCCCCCATATGGTACCCTGTAACGAATCTCTCTCTCTCTCTCTCCTGTACGGTACCTTGTTACGAATCCCCCCTCCCCTATTGCAAATATCTATTTTGGACCAAATATCTAAACTTTTTTTTTCATTTTTTTGTTAATTTGTTTTTTGAGAACAGTTGTGGTATTTCATACCTAATTCACAAATTTTCTACGCGTTCGCATAATTCTATAATCATACCACGCAGAAAAAGCGACGCTAATTTGGAGATTTAAAAAAAATTGTATTTTTTTTTTCACGATTGCGGTCGGAACATTCTGTGCTACTTGCACAGCAACTAATTACCCTTGTTATATTTTGCTTATATGAGTAAACAAACGCAAGCACAGCAAAAAATTGAATTTTCGTAATTGGAGGTTAAAGACATATTTACTTTTGCTTTGTTTTACGAAAGAAGCTTGTTTATCTCCGCAGCAGTGCGTCAAAATTTAATTTTCTCTGCTAAGTTGCAGAGTTGCTTATTTCAGAGGAATTGTTTCAAAATTTCTGCCAAAATCAGATGTTTTTTGGATCATTTGAATAATCCCCTCATATCGGCTCGGGGGAAGATAGCTCACTAGCTAGCTAGTTGAGACCTGTTTATAACCTTTATAAAGTTTAGATTCAGACTTAAAAAAAGTGCCAAAATACTCACATATTAAGCCGGCTTTTTACAGTTGGTTTGTAAAAAAAATGTCCAAATACATACAATATTAGGATGTAGTAAATTTCTTTTTGATTTACGCAGAGGTGAGAAAACTGACCCTGGTAACTTGCTTACCTCAAACCAGAGATTGCTAAAACAAAAAAAAAACATAAAAACATGAAAGAGAAAGATTTTTTTTTCAAAGATTTTTCCTCGACACATCAAAAAATCTTCAGCCGGCCATTGATTGCGAACTATATACACTTCAACCACCTGCTAGCGTTGAAAATTTCTTTTTTAGTTCTTTTGCCGTTTTTGCTTGAGGGGTAGAGAACTCAATTGATCATCACAGGGGGAGGGGTGCTCAATTGATCCAATTGTACCACTAGTTCTTGCGTCAATTGTAAGCTGTAATCAAATCGGTTATCTTTTTTGAGAACTGTGAAAGGATAACGGCACGAGTTTATTTAATTTCTATTTTCTAAAGTTTATAAAACAGCCGCTGCGGAGCCAGATTATGGCGAATGGCAGCAATTGCTTTTTTGCAGCATACATATTGATCCGACTTTCGATACGAAAGTAACGGAATATTTAAGCTCGGGGTGGGTTTTTTTTTCTTCAGACAAATTTCGACCTTTTAACTAGCCTTTTTTGACGGAATTTTTTTCATATTATTCAAAAGGTGTTGTTGTCCTGAGCTCAAATTTGAAAAGATATTTCACCTGTGATCATTTTTTTATAAAGTTATGGGGGTTTAAAGATTGCAATTTTGGCCAATTTGGGACAATTAACGCGCGATATATTTCGCGCTATTAACGCGTAAGCGGAGAGTTAATCCGTCTTCAAATCGTTCCAAATTGGTTGAAAGAAGCTTATTTTCCATAATTGATTTGTTACAAGGAGCGAAATCTATCGTTTTGTACTTTATATGGCGTGTGGGGGGATGATTTTCATGAAATATTTCAAATTTTAGAAGAAAAAAATTTCATTTTATTTTTTCTTACATTTAATTTTTTAATGTTATTACTGCTCCATAAAACCTTAAAAGGCAGTCGGAACATTCAGTGCTTCGCCCTGATACGAGCAGTCTTGTTTTTGTTTGGTTCCTTTTTGGTCGGTTCTTTTGACACCGACAGGCCAAAATTTGTGAGTGCCAAGAAAATATAATTTCTTCAAGGCCGTCTTTAAAAAGTTTGAAAAAAACATGCGTGACAGTTTTGATCAGGGATCAAGTGAAAATCCTTCTCCACCCCCCAAAGATCCTCCGCCCCAGCATTCAATTTGCTCATATATGTTTGCAGTACCAATTTGCTCATATGTTTGCTCATATGTTTTTATTACCCATAAAATTTAGGACTTTTTAATTTTCTTTTTGGCCATCGATGATACTTCATAACAAAAATTTTGAAAGTTTTTAATACTATCGTCATTTAACGATGGATCTTGTATGTAGCGGTGAGCGTTTTTGTTCAAAAATACTAATTAGATCTCTATGTTCACCCAGCAATTGTTTCTCTTAAATTTCCGCTTTTTCTGCAATATGCATCCTAAATTTTTGCCCAAAACTTTAATTTCAAATTTTTGCATTCACCTAAAGCTATCTTACTAACCTGGAAATATATCTGTCTTTATCAAAATTGATTACTACAAACCTACAGAAAACCTGTATGTTTTCTGAGAATTCCGAATGAACCTTTAGCATAAAACTTTCATTTCAACCGCACCCTAAGTCTCAATTTACCCAATTTAAATGCCTTAAACTTATCAGCTCCATGAGCGTTTTCCAACCAAGCTCAAGTATATCAAATGTGAGAAGCATGTCTTTTCGAAAATATTGCAAACAAGAGACTTAGGAATTATAATTTTGCTAGCTTGAAATTGCACAAAATAAGACTTATTTTTTCCTTGATGAGCTGCTACGCACATTTACTTAGCCTTTTATCAAAGTCTGATTCAAAGAAAAGGGTAACCGGTCTTCTAGCTTGTGCGTCGCTTAGTATGCGGCTATTAGCGCAATTAGAACTGAGTTTGTTTCTCACATTGCAACTAAAACTCAACCTAATGCGTACCGCATCAAATTGAGTAATTATTGTTTCGGCTTACGTAACGAAAGTAATGGAATATTTGTGCTCGGGTTGGGTTTTGTTTTCTTCAGACAAATTTCGACTTTTTAACTAGCCATTTTTGACTTCTAAACTAACCAAAATCTCAAATTTAAGAAAAAAAATTTCATTTTATTACATATAGTTATTACTGCCCCATAGAGCTTAAAAGGCAGTCGGAACATTCAGGGCCTCGCCCTGATACGAGCAGTCTTGTTTTAATTGCACAGGCTAAGCGGCACGCATGAAAGTCGTTACGCCTCCACGGGCAAGATACCTCTACACGTAGCGGACCGAAGCGGAGCAAGCGCGCAATTTTTTCGTTCGAGCCGTCATATCAAATTGTCGGCGGAGACTTTGAGTGGATCGTTTGGGTGACTTTGTCGGCGGAGACTTTGAGTCGGCAGGGAGTCGATTCTCTGAGAGGGAAGGGGGAGCGTCCAACCCCCCCCCCCCCCCCCCCCCCTAAATCCGCCCCTGTTTGGGTCCATAAAGACCAAAGATATTTTTTCAGACTATGTTCAAAAATTTGTATGTATTTTTTACTCGCAGCATGCGTATTTTTATCTAGGCAAGCATTTTTTTAAAATCTATCGGAAGAAAAAGAATAAACTTTGGCTGGGTCTGTGTTCAGACTTTGTTTGGGGTTTGTTCTGAGTTTGTTTTGAATTATGCTTACACTTTGTCTGGATATTTGACCCGCGTTGCGGGCTACGAGAATCAGGTTCCAAATTGGATTGATTGAGATTATGAAAGTACGAAAACAAAACCACAACTTCGACCTGGAAATACAAATGTTATGAGCTAAATCAGCAAACGTTTACTTTGCTCTTACTTGATTTTGTACAAATGTACTACCAGATCACCACTAGCCGTTGAGTTTTGCCATTGACTGAGAATCTAAAGCTCTTAAGCAAACACTACCTTTAATATAACCAACCCTCTTCAGTATTAAACTGTGGTTCAAACTTTGAAAGTGCGAAACCAAACTCAAGCTTAGAATTCTTTATGCTCATTTGTGATTTGAATTGTTCTAATTATCAATGAAGTTACGTAGAAAAATTTCTATCTAGATTTTTTGCCGTATTCGTATTTGTAAGTTGTGTAAAAATCCAACTGATTTTTAAAATTTAATCATTATTTGCCCTGTTATTCTAAATGAGTTCTATCGCTGTTCTATTTTTCAGACGTCGGCATGCGGTTCCTCGGCATCCAGAGATCCGACAGTCTAGTGTCCTCCGAGGAGGCGACTCCTAGCGATACTCCGGATGAAACCATCAATGAAATTGTAGAGGTTAGATTTTTAAGTAAGCTTGGTTCGTTGATCGTCTGTGACTCTTTTTTTAGCTTATTTCCATTACAAATTATACATCCGGTAAATTCGTACTTGTTGAACTGTTGGCGATGAAATCGCTAGTAACAATGCTATTATCTATTATTAACGATGAAAATTTCCAGGCGTTATATCAGGTAATGAGATATTTGTTACCTTAATACCCGGGTTGACAAAATTGCTTGTCATACAATTTATACAATTTCACAAATGTATGATAATTCCACAATTGCATAATTCTACAAAAAAAATGAATGAAAGCTATAATAAGTATTTGTTCATATAAGATAAATTTACGAGTACAATTTTTCCAAAGACCCCGTGCATGGAATTGTATGATAAGCAACTTCCATAGACTCCATGTATGGAATTGTTTAATTAACTTTTTCTCCTAGACTCCATGTCTGAAATTGTATTGTAAACATTTTTTCCAAAGACTCCAGGTATGAAATTTTATGATAAATTGTTTCCATAAACTCAATGTATAGAAATGTATGATAAGCAATTTTTCCATAAACTGCATGCGAGGAATTTTACGACAAGCATCTTTTCTTGTATCGAATTATTTGAGAAGTGTTTTTTTTCTTGAACGAAATTGTATGATAAGAATTTTTTCTTCTGTTGCAAATGTATGATAAGTTTTTACTCCATGGCTCCGTACATAAAATTGTATGATATGCTTTATTTTATATTCAGATGTGTGACAAGCGTTTCTCTTGTATGTAATTGGATGACACGCATTGTTGTTCCGACTTTCGATACGAAAGTAACGGAATATTTGAGCTCGGGTGGGTTTTTTTTTCTTCAGACAAATTCGACTTTTTAACTAGCCATTTTTGACGAAATATTTTTATATCATTCGAAAGCTATTGTTGTCCTGAGTTTAAATTTGAAAAGATATTTCACCTGTGATTATTTTTTGTAAGGTTATGAGGCTTTAAAGATTGCTATTTTGGCCATTTTGAACAATATGGGAAAATTAACACGCGATATAATTCGCGCTATTAACGCGTAAGCGGAGATTTAATCCGTCTTAGAAATCGTTCCAAATTGGTTGAAAGAAGCTTATTTGCCATACTCGATTTGTTAAAAGGAGCGAAATCTATTGTTTTATACTGTATATGGCGTGTGGGGGGATGATTTTCAAAGAAAAATTTTCAAAGTTTAGAAAAAAAGTTTTTCATTTTATGTTATTTCATTTAATTTTTCGGATCTACGTAACAATCTCCCCCCCCCTTCAAAAAAAGGGGGGGGGGAGATTCTTTAGTAGATACAATAGGGGGGGAGATTGTAAAGTAGATCCAAGTTCTTTATGTTGTTTATGTTATTACTGCTCCATAAACTTTAAAAGGCAGTCGGAAGTTTCAGGGTTTCGCCCTGATACGAGCAGTCTTGTTCTTGTAAGGAATCGTTTGGTAAACATTTTTTTTCATAGGCTCACTTTATTGGAAATGTATAACAATATTTTTTTTACTGTTCTTAATATGGATTTCTTGATACACATTTTTCTTCAATGGAATTCTATTACAAGCGCCTTTATTACAAGCACCCATTTTTCCTTATGAAATCATATGGAATTATTTGATAAGCATTTTTTTCATAGATTCATGGATAGAATTGTTTGATATATTTTTTCCCATAAGCTGCATTTGTGAAAAAAACATGGTAAGCATATTTTCCATAGATTCCAAAAGTAATAATTTTCCAAGGAATTGTATATATGCTTTTTTTTGTCGGGAATTTATAACATGATTTTTTCTCGTATAAATATTAGGCATAAAGAATAGGTGTATATAGGCATTTTTCCAAAAAAAAACCTTGTTCACAAAACAGTCAATTTTAATTGAAATGGTAAATTTCGCGACTGATTTTAAGCAGACTACTGACATGCTCAATTTCTTGAAAATCTTAACCAAACAACCATCATTTAAAAAAGGATAGTAATTAGGTGAAGTTCATTTCAGGCAGTTTTTATTGATTCAAAAAAAAGTTTAAAAAAAAAACATTTTTTTTGTATTCGTGGTTTTCACTCTAGTTTCCGACGGTTCAATTTCCGTTTTTTCATGTAATTTATGCTATCTGGTACGTTTTTTAGGTGCTTTTTTCCAAATCATGGGCTTTTTAATGATTTAAACAGTTTTAATTATAATTGACAGGTGGGTAATTTTTTTTGATTAAACGATTTTGGCCAATGTTATATATGTTAGTCAAGTTCTTTTGCGCAGTTTCGAGAGCAAAATAAAATGTTATGCTTTTGTATATGTAATTTTTGCACGTCATTTTTTAATTTTTCAAGTACTATTTTTTTAACATAATTTTTCATAAAAATTTATATTCTTTATTTTACTATCATGTCACGCATTGTTGGTCGTTGTATCGCAAGTGTTACAAAGCCCCAATTCGTCTCTTTATAAGCAAATTCGTACGGATTTCTATGAATCGAATTGTATGACAAGCATAGGCTCTATGTATTAAACTTTTTGACTAGCGTTTTTCTTATACGAAATTTTACAAAAAACCTTATTTTGTAAATAGAGAGCAACCCGGGGTTCCCTTATTCTCTCTAGGTCATTCGGGACATCCAAAAGCTGAATGCTCACTTCGAGTGCGAGTTGGGACGTCTGAAGCGGAAGAAACAGAGAGAGAGGCGGGACAGGGTAGGGTGGCTGGGCTGGATGGAGATGATGCACATACCTAGATTCATAGTTCGCTTCCTATTTCCCATTTGCGCTGCTTGGCAGGTTAGACTTACTTTTGAACAAATTTTAAACACCGACAAAAGTTACAAATGTTAACGAATTTAACACGAGCAAAAGCAACACAAGCATAGCGAATATCAAAGACCCCCACCCACCCGTTCGGG